GTGGTTAGTAAGCCCAAACTCCAGTTTGTAATAAAGAGACCTGAATATGATTATATCAGAAATGGCTCCTTGGTGGTCTTTTGGGGTTCACAAACTCTTCCTGGCACAACATTTGTCACAACAACTTGGCATCAATATAAACTTAACAATCATTCTCAATGGTCAGAAAATGTCACATTTGGTTTCCAAATTCCCATTGATCTTGAAAAATTCAGCTAAGTCACAGGTTTGTGGTCTGGGAAATCTTCCTATATTCAGCCTTTTTCTGTTTTCCATTCTTACCCTTTCCTCTATATTTCATGCAATATGCACAAGATTCTCCTAGCAAAACCAAACCTTCTCCAAAACTGATAGGAACTCAGAGCTCTTGACTTCCTCTCATCTAGACTTTGATTTAGAAGACAGAGACCTTCCTCTGAAACTCTTCCTCCTTTCTCACTATTTGACCTTATGCAGCCACCTCAGACTTGCCAACTAGTGCCCTTCCAGTTCACTCCTTTCCTTATCTTAACTCAACCCTCTTTTTGGTCTTGTTTTATCATAGCATAAGATATTCTAAGACAGTTGATACCAAGATTGTGGTTTATTGCTGTTATAGACCTATGCATATTTGGAGAGATGATTGTAGAAGGATTTTGAATCCTTGGGCGAGAAAAGTCATTGAGTATCAACAGCTCATGGAAATGTTCTTTAGATTTGAAGATAAAAATTTTGAGAGCAGTATAGAAGCTGAAGGCCTGGCTTATGAAGTTTCAGATGGAAATGTCAACACTACTGAATTAAGATACTGTCAGTTTGGTCAGCTGTGCCTGAAGAATCAGCCAGGATGAAAAGATTAAGAGTAGTCCAGGAACACTGAAATAAAATCTATCTATTACTTGGACAACTGATGAATCTTAGCTGAAGCTAAAAATTAGCACTGATTAAAAAGAGACTGAAGTGAAATCTTCTGGAAAGAGTTTCCAAAAAGGACAGAGAAGCTGTGTTACAGAGATGGCAAAGGCTTATGTTGACTGTCAGACTAAGTAAAGTGAAAGAGTTATCTAGGTGGTATTAGTGCTGAAGTCATAAAGGAGTCATGGAATGCAGCTGAGGCTTGGCACAGTGAAATGCCAGAAGAGGCCATTGATGAAGATATGACTTCAAAGGCAGTTGAATGCCCAGGATTGAAGGGGTCATGTGGAGAAGTTGAGGCTTCACAACTTGAAGAGAGCTTATGAGAGGCTATTGTTGAAAGTGCAGCCCATTTTCCACAAGGGGTGCCCTTATTTTGGAGATGCTGACATCTTTTTGGATGAGCACCAAGAATAGCAGCAACAGTGGTGTGGAACCAGATGTAGCCTAGTAGATACACTGCATGTGCTACAGAGAGCAGGGCTGGAGAAGTGACTCAAGTCTTTTGCAGGAGTCCAGAAGATCATAAGAGGATCCCAGACATTGGACAGTTGGAGTTTGATTATGTTTTGATTCAACTGTGACTGTGTCCTGATTTTTCATCTTTGAAGCAAGAAAGTATTTGATTTTTTTTATTTTATTTTACTGAAGGCCACAGTTGAGAGACTTTGAAACTTAAAAGAGTTTGAGTTTTAAAAAGAGATTAGCTATTTTAACGGGAAGAAAATTTTAATGTGTTTCAATTTGTAAAGACTGTGAGACTTTATTTAATACTATGGGCCTTTTAAAGTTACTCTATTTTAAATGTAAGATCTTGGGGATGAATAAAAAGTGAATGGTTTTGGCTTTAATGATGATATGCTTGTATGTCATATTGACAAGGGGTCAGTTATACTGGCTAGTTTTGTATCTTTTGACTAAAGCTAGAGTCATCACAGAGGAAGGAGTTACAATTGAGAAAATGCCTCTATACAATCCATCTCTAAGGTACTTCCTTAATTATTGACCAGTGGGAAAGGGCCTAGGTCATTGTGAGTGGTGCTATCCTTGGCCTGGTGGTCCTAGAATTTACAAGAAAGCAGGCTGATTATTCCATGTGAAATAAGTCAGCAAGGAGCATTCCTCTATGGTCTCTTCATCAGCTCCTGCCTCCACCTTCTGTCCTGACTTCCTTTGGTGATGAACAGCAATTTGGAATTGTAAGCTGAATAAACTCTTTCCTCCCCAGTTTCCAACAGAAACTCTAAGACATTTACTCTTTTTCTGCTTAACTCAAATGGCAAGGATTTTTCTCTTTTTTTCTCTACTCTCAGCTTATAACTTAGTACTCTGATGTGTGTGTGTGTGTGTGTGTGTGTGTCGTGTATGTGTGTAAGTGTGTTTTCCAGTTTTCTTTTCAGTCTGCTCATAAATTGTCTTATTAACAAGATGACCTCAATTTCTCTGTTTACATGTTGTGAATCTGCTGGGACAACCTAAAATTTATGATTACACAGTAATATTCTTAGTGCTAGCACTATAGGAGTACATTGCTGCACTCGGGTTACACACTGCTGGATGTGAAACCCAGGAGGTTCTGCATTACAGGCAAGCATTCTACCGAGTTACATCCAGAGCTAAATTCATTCTGTGCTGGAGAGTTAGTAATACTCTTCTGTGGGAATTAGAATTTAAAGCAAAGATATAAATAACATCAGTTTATGATTTGACAGACTTTGACTTTTAAGAAGACAATGCATTTATCCTTAAGAATAATTCATATTTTAAATGAATTAAATATTCTTATTCATTAGATGTTCTGTGCCATGAAACTAGAAGTCTAGATGATGAAAAATAATTGAAATAGAGAATTGTGTGCATAGTATATCTTTTTGTTATAGGGATAAACAGTGTTTTCCATCATGGTCAGCATTAGAATTAATTTGGTATTGCCCCAGTGACAGTCAAAAATATAAAATATATAACCAAAAAATTTTAGAATTTAAGATACAATTTGAAAACTGGACAAGTATGTCAACTTTTAGAGGCTCTTAGAACTTTATGCTTCAAATATAATTTTAGTATTCATTCTCTCAATGCTTTTCCTCAAGTGGCAAACACAAGATCCAAACTTAGTGTTTTCCCTAAAATTTTTTTATTTTCTAATTTGTTTATAATACTTTAGTTTAAAAACCTTTTTCAATATGATTGTGATATCCTTTCAAAACCTTCCAGGTTTTATGGCTGTTATGGCTAAATACATGTGAATCACTCACTCAACTTTTATAAACATTTTTTCTTACAGAAGTTTAATAATTTTTCTTATTTTTGATATTGTATTTCTTCTCTCTTTATTCTGGAATCAGCACACTTTTTGTTTAAAGATATTCGAATCGTAGTGGGAGGATATTTTCCTATATTACACCATTGCAAGTTTTAGTCTTCTTTTTATAATAATCCTGTTTTCCTTGTCAAATTTGTTCTAGCAGTAATCCATTTTTAATATTTTCTTGTTTTTATTGTATTTTAATTACCTGCCTCCTTACATAAGTTTGGTTTCAAAACTTTTAGCTATTTTAATTTTCAAAAGCTCTTCAGTTTGCTTAACCTATACTAAGTTTGGATTCTTGCTGGTATGTTTGAAAAGGAAACAACCTGCTCTTTTTGAGTCCAGCTGAAGTTCTGCACCTGCAGGGAGGACCAGAATTGAGAAGTTCAGGTAAATTCTTAGCATTTTATGGTGTGCAAGTGATGGGAAAAGCAGTTTCTCATGGTAAATTACAACAGTTAAATGTGCAATTCGCTGTGAGAAATTCTCTTTGAATATGTCATTCCACAGACTAAGACTATTTTGTCTTAGCCTTAATTTACTGCATCAGAGTTTCCACTTAATATTTATATTTTGTTTACAGGAATTGTCATTATTTTTAGGTTTTATGTCTCTTTGTATTTACTGCTTTCTGATCTCATAAGTTTTCTTATAGATAGCTGCTGAATTATTTCTACAGGTTTCTTCTTGCTTAAAATGAGCCTTGATATCTAGCTAGCTAGCTATCAGTCTATCTATAGATATACTACATTTCTTTACATTTAATGAAGCTTCAAAGTAGTATGTTTCCATACAACTTTTTATACAATGTCTTTTTTTAGACTAACTAATTTGTTAATTGACTAACAAATAAAGTACACAGTGTCAGGAATGCTTTTACCTGAAGTAGACCTGCTTCTAGCAGTTGCTTATGTGATTTAGAAAATACAGAGTCACTGCAATCTTCTATAATCAATAGAACATGCCTTTGTAACAATATCAATTGATTCTCAGTTCTCCAGTCCTGTTTTATTCACAATCATGTCTTTTGCTTTTGTGACACTTGTATATCCATGGAGAAGAGGCTTGTGATTTCTAGCAGATTAATAGGAACAGAGCATCATAAATTTAGTTCTCTTAATATAGATTTATAAAGCACCATATTCAAATGAGCCTTTTATCCTTCATGTTCATGATAGTCTTGAAATTTATTTTTTTAATTTCTCCATTTTGGAGTTTGGTTGTGATTATCTATTTCTGTTCATCACTATGTGTGCATCAATGCTAGAGAGTGAAAAGACAAAGTACACCCTAAACTTACCCAAAATAAGCACGGGATAGAAGAAGAACCAACAAAGAGCTCATTCTCTAAGTGGGACACCGTTGTTGCTTTGATAATTTTATCATTAAAATCTTATGAAGCCTATCTTCACACTTATTTTACGTAAAAGAAAAACTATATCTTGATGTCTCACAATAAATTTCTCTGATAAAACCTTTGAAACCCACAAAAAAAGAACAATAATATCTTTGTTCTAAAGATTGGAGAGATTTCTCAGCAGTTAAGACCACTGAATGCTCTCCCACAGGACTGCTGCTCTTCTATTCTTAGCACCCATGTGGCAGTTAACAATCATCTGTAACTGAAGTATAAATGGAAATGGTGCCATATTCTGATCTCTGTGAGCACAATACCTGTACATGGTATGCAAACATACCTGCAGATCAAACATCAATATATATAAAATAAAATAATTATATTTCAAACATTATTATGTTCTACTTAGATTGTTCTAATAAAACAATGAATCCAGAAATGTTTGGCTAACAATCCTCTTAAAATTTAATCTTAATTTTCATGTATGAAACAGAGACTGAAATGCAGGTAGTTATATCATCTGGTTGGAAGAGGAGGAAAGAAAACATAACAGAATCCAATGTCGTATGTCTGTCCTTTGTGTCAGGAGTTTCTCTGGCAAGAAGCAGGGAAGTTCTCAGTAGGAACACAAGTCTTCACTTCTTTCAGATTTGTATTAGACTCCATGAGAAATGCACCATGATTGTAGTTAGCTTGCTCCTTTTTGAGTAATAGTCACTCAGCCAATTTTTTGAAACAAACCTAGCACACAGTCATAAAATATTAGGACAACAATTAGTATATACCAAATGAACAGTTTACAGCGTACAGGAGTCTATTGTTAATGTCTTGATATTAGCACAAGGACTTACTGTCATTATCTGAATGATTTGAGTGCTTTTTCACTACCAAAGAAACTGGGTAAATTATAAATTTCAGTCTAGCTAAATGTTTTTAACAAATATCTGAATATCAGAATTTCTTATAAATTTCAAAATATACTTACACCCAGCTGTCTCTCCATATCATATAAATATGAGCCTCTATATTTGCTGCTCTGACATAACAAGACACCCTTGGTGACTTTAAACTGTAGCCTAGGGTGAGAGTTACTGCTTAAAGCCTTACTTTTTCATCTTTAAAATGCTATTGGCTCTAACTACTAAGACCATCACTGCAGGTCTATTTTAAGAATCAAAAGTAAATGGATGTCAAAAACATAACACGATGCCTGGAACGTTATAAATAATTCATATCACTCCCTCTCCAACCGCACTATAAATACAATTAAGGGGAACATTATATCCTTTTCACTGTTTCCTGTATGGCACAGAGAAGGTACTTAAAAGTGGTTTTTTGGTTCAATGTATCACCTGTACTGTCCTTTAGATAGCAAGACATGCTAGTGTTAAAATTTGTTCAATTACAAAACTCCTTATTAAAAGAGTATGGAAAATATACATTGTGTATAATGTTTTTTTTTCCCTTTCAGCTGACACAGTACCTCACTCTTACATTCTTTTGAATGCTATCCACCGTATCACCCCACACCACATTTCCCCAACTGTACCCTTGTCTCTTCTTCCTATCTTTCCTTTCCTGTTCTTTTTCTCTCTCCTGTTTTCTACCTTTTTATTCTTTCCTCCTTCTTCTGTCCTCATTCCATCTTCCTGCTCACCTCCCCATCTCTCAGTTACTACCTCTATAGTTTAGTGGATTTATTTTTATAGAAAAAAAAACTACAGTTTTCTTAAATTTGCTTCACAATGGCATACACGGTCTAGGCCAAGCAATATGGCAGCATTATGAATCTATCTTATGAAGCAACACACTTCTTTCTTGTACTTTGCATTTTTAAAAGACGCATGTTTTAAAATAAAAAAGTGTAGTTTGTGATTCGAACATTGATACTGTGTCCTTGCACAGAGCCTAGTTTAATATTTTAGCCCAATAATTTCATGTCTTCCTTCCATGAATATATTATACATTATTCATGTGTGTCAAAATAGATAAACATATAGTTGGCCTCATGTAATATAAAAACCTCTCAAAATTTTAATCCAGCAAACAAGATAAAATCTAAAGGCTATTGGAAGGAGATACAGTTCATTCTACATGGTGATCTAAAATCTCTGTCTCATCCATTGAAGAGTGTTCATGTCAGTTTTAATAGTATTAGAGGTCATTGCTCGGGTCATGAGACTTGTTGAGATCAGTCAACTCTATGAATATCAAAGGACAAGAGTGGTGAGACATTGTTGTACCTTGGTAGACTGCCAGGAGTCTTTTGAAAATATAACAGGGAGAATTAAAGGCCAGATGTGGTTGAAGATTTTCATCTTATACCTGTCACAGAGAAACCATCAAAGACCACAAATCCTTAATCTACACAGAGAACTAGAAGTAACTACACAATAATTAAGAGAAATAGTCTTGAACCATGAACAAAAATACCAATTAGTCAAGGCACAAATTTGTTACCTAATGCCAAATTGTCCTGAAAACATACATACATATAGACAGAGCAGGTTATATGTAGGAATATATGTATATGTATATGCATGTATATATACATGCATATATTACATATATATGTATTACATATATGTATACATAATATATATACACATATATGTGTATATATATGTATGTGTATATATATATATATATATATATGTAATAACAATTCATGAAGAGGCCCATGAAGATGTAATAGAGAATGGGGAAGTTTGTGGGAGGGATTGATTAAAAACCCAATAAAAAAATTTAAGAAACTGTTAATGAGGTTGCCTATGGTTCTTTTGTAGAATTGAATCCTTGTCAGCTTTCCCCTGTTCACTTTTGCATGTCCATTTTCCTTGTTCAGCTCCTATTTTGGCCACCATGTTGAATAAACTTTATATATGTAACCTGTTGACATTATTAAGAAACACAGTCTCACAAAAATCTCCCTATTACTCTGGCTTTTACATTCTCTCCACACCTTTTCGACAATGATTCACAAACCTTATGCTCAGGAGTCATTTTTTATATGAATCCGATGGAACTGAGCTCCATAACTCTGCATATTTATTGGTTGTGATTTTTTCTACTGGTCTCTGTTATAAAAATAATTTTTCTTGATTAGAGGGGAAGAGAACATGTATCTGCGTGTATAAGAAAAATACAGAAAATAATATACAAGTACTATTATACAGTTAAAGCAAGTTGTATATACACATATATATATATATACATATATATATATATATATATACATATATATATATACAGCAATAGTTACCTAAACAGAGGCTATGAATTCATTTTTGTTGTGCTTTTTTTGTGTTATAGTTTGGTTTCTTAAATTTTAGTACCTAGCCTCTTGCTTCTTTTTAATGCCTGTTTGTTTATTTATACCAAATATATATTTTTCTTAACATATATTCTCATTATGTCTTTTGCTTCTCCAACCCCTTCTTACTTCCTCTCACCTTCCCACACACCAAAATCCACACCTTTTTTTTGATAATTCTCATTAGAAAACAAACAGGCGTCTAGAAAAAAAAATGTAATAATAAAAGTAAACTAAAATAGGACAAAATAAACAAAGAGAAAAATAGCCCAATAAACAACATAAGAATCACATACAGATGCAGAGCCACACATTTGCAAACAGAAATCCCATTTAAAACAAGAGGAGGAGGAGGAGGAGGAAAAGAAGAAAAACAAACAAAAACCTAGAAACTGCAAAATACAAGGAAAAGATTTGAATGGAGAAATGGAGAAAAACATAAAATATCCCAACAAAGAATCAAGAACCAAAAAAAAAAAAAAAATGTTAAAAATCTATCACTGAAGTCATTTGAGTTGACTATCTACCACTGGACCTGGAGTCGAACTTTGAGAGTGTTTTGTATACCCAGTGAGACTCTGTTGGAAAACTATATATTTTTTCTTTGATAGCAGTTATCAATTGAAGATAGCTTCTGGGTTAGATGTGGCTTGTGTCCAGTTCTTTTCTTGTTGCTAGACCTCACCCAGACCCTGTGCATTCTACCATAGTCTCTGTAAAGTTCCTAAATGCATCATTCCTACCGTGTTTACAAAATCTTGATCCTTGGAGTCCTGCATCCCTGTTGGCTCTTGTAGCCTTTCCATTGCCTCTTTCTCAGGGTTAGCTGATCTCAGAGGAGAAAGATTTGATGGAGATATCCAATTTATGATTAGATGTGCCAAGGTCTCTCATTCACTGCATATTGACCAGTTATGGTTCTCTGTACTTGTTCTCATATGCTAATAAATTTTATAAGCAAAGTTTATTTAGTACTGTGTACACTCACTAATTCATAAGACTTGTATTCATAGTAATTATCATTTAATACAATTTTTTGTTATTATAAAATTATATTTACTATAGTTTAAGAGAAAGTAACTAGTGCTTGTTTATGTAAAAGACGGAGTATTTGGGGTCAAAGCTTCTTTCCTTATCTAGTCTGGTGAAGCCTTGAAGAGGACAAATTTGTTTGTGTAAATAAGCATATATGCTCAAAATATTTTATGTCAGATCAAGATTTCTCCAGCCCACATTAACTACTTTTGGCTTTGAATTTTGCAAAATAGTGTAAAAGTTTACAAAAAAAACCGGGAAAATTGATCTCTAAATTTAGTGAAGTATAACATAGTCTCATTAAAAAGAAAGAAACAGCAAAGCACAAAAAAAATTAGAGACTTTATACTTTGGGATACATTAAGCAGCAGAATGAGAAGAGATGAAATGGCGGGAAGAAGCTGATCCTTTTGTGCCTTTTTTTTAATTATAAATCAATTTTATGAAAATAATGCAATTTTTAGAATTCTATACTTATTGATGTGTGAGTGTAAGATTATACAATCTCAGTCTTAAAATCTTAAAGTGTTAAGGTAGTGGAAGGGCTTCCACCGTACATGTTCAAGAGTAAATAAGTTCTATATTTCTAGATTCCTATTGTACATTTGCTTTTTTGCTAAAGACTGGTCAAGCGAAAGCATCAGAATAAATGGTGACTATGATAGATCCCACTTCCCTATGAAAGAACTATCGTCTTCATTAGATTCATGTGGGAAAAATAATGTCAAAAATGCATATTTTGGGTAACACACATAATGTAATTCTAACTAACACTCTGAAAGTGGAGGCAGGTGTGTCACACAACTATAATAACAACAAAAAGCAGAGTGCAGAATTTAGATTTAATGTTACAAATAATTTCAAACAGATACATTAAAGGAGCATTGCTCATATAAAAGTGAAATATTTGATGAATATTATCAATCTTATCTCAATAAAAAGAAAGCTCTGTGAGTAATGATTCTGATATTGCAACATTTTTCAAGTATTGAGATACATTCTTGGGAAGAAAAAGTTTCTACTTCACAGTGAACATCCTCAGGGAAAGATGAAAGAATAAAATGCCTTCGAGATTGATGCACAGCTGGATAATGCAGAGAGAGATCATTTTAAGTCAGAACATGGGGTGCGATCTGGGGAAGCTTTTGCACCTGTACTTGGCTGGCTGCTGAATTTAGAACACATTTTCTGTAGGGCAGAATTCCTCTGTAAGTACAAGCTTTTCACCACTCAACACAGACATGATAACAAGAACTCCCTGTTTTATCATATTAGAGTTTATTTTGCAATATTGAAAAGAAGTGACACAAACTCATACTAAGGTCAGACTCCCAGTTTTTCAGAAGAGCCTAGAAGGCTACTTGTTAATGGCACTTGAGAATAGTGAGAATGGATACATATTCTATTGGGGTAATATAAAATTCATTTTTCATGTTTTCTGCAATCATTGCTCTTGTATATAGATAGTACATTGCCAAATATACAGAAGTCTGTAAGGAAAACTATCCAGAATCACTGGATACCATGTTCTGAGACACTTGTGACTTTTGAATATTTCTTAAGCTTCCTTTTAAATTTTGTATGTAAAAGTATAGTTTTGGAATCAAAAGTATTTTGTATCTATGTTTGACATGTTCTACTTTTAGAAGTTAATAGCAATTAGTAGAATAAAAATATCCCAGAATATTTTATGAAAACTGTGGAATAAACACTCTGACACTGATGATTTTTAAAGAGAGGATAATAAAATAATTAATGCCATTGTCACTATTATATATTAGGAGTCACTGAAACAGAAATATATAGCAAATTTTGCTTTTTAGAGAGAGAGAAAAAGAGAAACAGAGAGACTATAGTGAGTACCATATCCTCACAAGTTTAAAATGCACATTTTTTTTGTAGAATAAATGGTTTCAGTTTCAGAGTTAAAGAGTAAGTATAAACAGAGAACAGAACAGATAGAGGTAGTTTCTCTTCAGAAACACAGATAAACATGGATAACTTAGAGCAGCATTATACTTCAAAATTAACATATGGAAAATGAATGTGTCATTACCTCCATAAATGGTTCCTGCAAATCTTCTTTGTGTCTCTGAGTGGTTATCTTAGATTATTTTTCAAGAAAAATACTTTAGATTGATTCTTGGCTTTAGCTTTCTATCTCACATTCATTTAACAAATTATATTATATTGCTTTTCAAAATGTAACTAGACTTCTTTGACATCATCTCTTGTCCTTTTATTTTACTGTCATTTCAGATGTTCCTTTTGCCTGTAACTTCCTGAATGGTGTCACTTTTCTCTCCATTTTTGTCTTTCATTTTATTTATGGGACATTTGTTGATATCACTTCTCCTCTATTCTCTATATAATAGAAATTTATTTCTTAACTTACTTAAACAAAAGTACTTAGACATTAGAATATACAAAATTTGAGATAATTACCTTTTGGGGAGCAGTTCAAGAGCAAACAAGTCTGGTAGAGTTTTCAAAAAATGCTCCTGTTTTTATTAAGAAATTAGTACAAAGTACATGGCTACAGTTGTAAGAGGATTACGCTATCAAAGAACCATTAACTTGAGTATCTGGGACTGTTAGAGATACAAAATATTTCTTATGTTCTAAATCTTCTGGAGGACATGGTGTAGAAAAAAAATTCTCCTTTCTTATGTCCTTTTCTGAAATATCCAATGAAGAATATCAAAAATAGCTGTCTGTGCCAAGAATTCTTGAAAGGTGTCCCTGAGTGCTCAGTGGAGATACACAGTGTGAGGTCCAGTGGCTTTGAGGTTTTCTTCAACATTTTTTTTTTTACCTAAATAAGACTGTTTATTTTAGTCCTACTATCTCTTTTTGAATACAATGAAACAGAAATAAAGAAGGAGGAAAATTATAATATTATTGTTTCTCTTTGTCTTTGGAATATTAACTAATCAGTATTAAGTACTTATAATATTTAGATATTTA